GGGGGGGAGACCGGGCCCCCGTGGGGGTGGGTACGGGGGGGGGGGGGGGTCAGCGCTTGGAAACCCTAACCCGCCCCCACGCGAGGGGTATTTTCAGTTGGCTTCCTTTGAGTGAATGGCCAGCCCTCCGAGCCCCGTCGCTTCCGCGGGGGATACGAGGGGAGGCCGGCTTCCCCCGTTTCTTTGGACAACGACTACCGAGACTGAGGCTCTTTATTGATCCGCCGTGTCTTGAAAACCTTTAAGACAATTAAATAATTTTGATAGCATCCTGATACCTGAAGCTTTATGTTCGGTCTCTGTGTGTGTGTGTGTGAGAGAGAGAGAGAGAGAAAGGAGTATGGAAAAATATCCTCTTCCCAGGATTTTATTCGTCCTTTTGGTTGCAAAATTCAGGCCCGCTGAATTCAATGAGACTTACCAGTATATGTACACGAGCTGCAGATGCCCAACCCCAGTTTTCTCTGTCTCTCACACGCATACACACATGCACCAAATCCCTCAATATTGTTTGTCTTCAATATTTGGGGATTTGGCAGTTTGGAATCTCCCCTCAGCAATCACACACTAACAGTAATCTTAAATTTTCTGACTGCTAGTCTTTGCCTAATCCAAGGGTCTCAAACTCAATTTACCTGGGGGCCGCTGGAGGCAGAGTCTGGGTGAGGCTGGGCTGCATCAGATTAAAAAAAAAACCGTACAGAATCGCCTTGCCAAAGGAGAAAAGCCCCCATCGGTACCTGCGAAATTAAACAGAAGGGGGTGGGGGCCCCCACAGATGCACACGCACGCACACAAACACACACACACGGAGGTCCGGCAACCTTCCTCTGAGGGCCCCCCTCAAAAAAAGGCGTACTCAGCAGCAGCAGCTACCCCCACCATGACAGAGGAGCAAACTTTGCGAGGCGAGCCCAGGCAGCCTCCAGAGCCAAGGCAACTAAAGCAGAACGAAGAGGAGGAGGAAGCACCGCCAGGTGCTGAGGCAGCCGCTGGCCAGCTGGGCTGGTGCTGGGGGTTCTGAGAGAGAAAGAGAGCCAGAGAGCCACTTCCCTGAAAGAGGCGGCAGCGGCGGCAGCTTCTGTTGAAGGCGCTCTTCGAGGACGGGCTGGGAGCAAGCTCTGCTCTCAGGCATTGCTTGGCGGTGGCTCGGGCGCTCGGGGAAAAGGGTCAGCACCGCACCTCGCTCGCCGGCTCTCCCCCAAGACAGCGCCTCTTGCACCCTCCATCCGGAACTGCAGCCTGCCAGCCAGCCAGCCTGTCTGCCAGGCTGCAGTTCCAGATGGAATATGCAAGAGGCGAAGTCTTGGGAGAAAGCTGGTGAGCGAGGCGAGGCTTTTTTTAACTCTTGACAGCAGAGGACATGTGGGCACTTTGGGGGGGCAGGCAAGGCGGGGGCCACAAACTATCATCCGGCAGGCCGCAAATGGCCCCCGGGCCGTATGTTTGAGACCCCTGGCCTAATCAAAAGATCAGTATCCATGCCCAAGAAGGAGGTGGCAGGTTTGGGACTATCTAGAGGTTTGCAAAAAAATTAAACCCTCTGAAGGAGGAGAGGAAGCCAAAGCAATAAAATGAGGAGTAAGTATATGCTGTCAAGTTGGTTTTGACTTACGGCAATGCTTTTGAGGGTTTTCTTACCTCTGGTGTGATACCCTGTCCTTTTGAGGGTTTTCTAGCTGTGAAGTACTCAGAAGTTACAATAGTTACCATTCTCTTCCTCTGGGGACACTCTGAGATTGTGCTACTCTCCCAAGGCTACATAGTCTGTCTCTTCTCCTCATAGGTTCAATGGAAAGCTGAAATCCTGACCTCTGGCTCTGCAACTAGGTACCCAACTCACAAGGAATAAACACTATGGAGAGAAGGGAATACAGTGGAATGTCTTGGAAAAAGGCAAGGCTGAACAGGAGCATACAAAAAACTAAAGACGAAGGAAAATTTGTGTAACTCAGTGAAGACCAGTATACTTTGTACATTTAGAGCCATGGAATGCTAGAAAAAAAGGGGAGGGGATGGATGGAGCGGGTGCTGACAAGTATTGAGCCTTTCCCAGAAAAAATGAGCTAGGAAGCTATAAAGTGCAGGGTGTATTGGCCAATTTGTCTGTATTTAATGGTGCAAAAATCAACTACCTATGATTTTATCTTTCATGTTCAGGTCCAAAGTGAACATGGCAGCACCTCCAGAAAAGTTCAGTGTGGAAGAGCATAGGACCATAATTAAGTTCCTGTTTCTCCAAGGGAAAGGTGCAAAGCAGATCCATGATGAAATGTCACAAACTCTGGGTGACAGTGGCCCTTCATATGCAACCGTTAAACGCTGGGTTGCCAATTTTAAAACTGGTTATTTCGGTGTTGAAAGTGAGAAACCCAGTGGAAGGCCTGTTTCTGTCTCCGTGCCTGCAAATGTGAAAGCCATCCATGACATGATCATGGAGGACCGCCGAATATCAGCCAAAAGTATTGCTATATATCTGAGAATATCACGTGAGAGAGTTGGTGCCATTATCCACAACAACTTGGAAATGAGAAAGCTGGCAGCAAAGTGGATCCCCAAATTTTTGACAACCGAACTAAAGAGGAAACGTGTGGCATCATCAGTGGCTGTTTTGGAACATTTTGCAAGAAATGAGTCAGATTTCCTGGGCAAACTGGTAACTGGTGATGAGACATGGATCTACTGTTACAATCCTGAGACAAAGGAACAGTCTAAGGAATGGAGGCACAGTGGTTCCCCCAGGCCAAAGAAGTTCCGAGTGCAAAGGTCAGTGCAGAAGCAAATGGCAACAGTTTTTTGGGATAAGAAGGGAGTTCTGCTGGTGGACTACCTCCAACAGGGTTCAACCATCAATGCAAAATATTACTGTGCTTTATTGACGAAGTTGAGGCAAAATATCAAGGAAAAACGTCAAGGAAAGCTCTCCAAAGGTGTCATCCTGTTGCATGACAACACCTCGTCACACACTGCAGATGAAACAATGACAAAACTGACCTCCTTAGGCTTTCAAGTGATGCCCCATCCACCCTATTCTCCCGACCTGGCTCCTTCTGACTATTATCTGTTCCCCAAACTCCAAAAACACCTAAAGGGACAACGATTTGGGAGTGTTCTGGAGGCAACTAATGCTGCTAATGAGTGGTTACACCAGCAGTCAGAAGAATTTTATTTGCAGGGACTTACGAAGCTGCAGGACAGATGCCGCAAATGCATTGACTTCCTGGGGGAATATGTAGAATAGTGTGGCAGTAATGTGGTTGTTACTCTGAACTGAATGCACTGCAAAATTGTGTTGCACATCACACCAGTTTTAGCTAACAATAAGTTCATTCTATGTTAATAGCCACTGTGACAAGTAATTAGAGTGCAAAGTAAGGTATATTTCTCAGAGCAAATACTATCAATCAGAGATAAGTATCCATTCTTGATGTTATTCTGTAGTGTTGATGGTGATAAATCTTTCTTCACCACCACTACCACATCTTCTCAGTGTTGTCCTGCAAAGCTCTTCTGGGGGGTTACAAGCCAAACTTTGATATGTATGCGCTCCTTGGAAGGACCATTTACGCAGTTTGGGAGTTTTCCTGGACTCCAGTGGGAATACTTATGTGACAGCGGTGGCCAGGAAGGTTTTGTTACCAGCTCAGTTTTGTATACTGGCTGTGGCCTTATCAATTAAGCAAAGACCTTGCTGTTGTGATCCGTGTTGGAAAAGTTGAATGCGCTTTGTGTGAGGGCTGCCTTTTGGGAGTTTCACTTGGTTCTGAATGCAGAGCATAACTGGGTCAAGATGGTAAGACCATGCAGCTATACTGCACTTACTGGGCTGGTTGCTGGTGCATTTTCAAGCCCAGTATAAACTTCTGGATGTAACCTTTGAAGATTCACCTGTTTGGAACCAAACTAATAAAGACCTAATGTTTACCCTGCCTTTGAGGTTTCAGATCAAAGTTCTGCTTGCATACCCACCCTTGAGAATGATCAGATTGGTGGGCATGAGAGAATGGGTTTGGGCAATAACCTCATATTTATAGAACCAAACTAAAGAGTAGTCCCAGATAGCAGATGGACTCAACCAAAAAGTTCCAG